CTCTCATAAACAAAATGTCTCCAGATTGTTTGGCCTGGGGAGCTCTCATGTCTATTTTCTTCATGTAGTGAATTTTATTGTATATAAATTTTACCTCAATAAAAAAAAGTCATGTGCCTTCAGAATCATGTATGGGAAATTGTCCATTTTCCAAGGGGTCACTGCTGTCAGTTGCTGGCTAAGTCCTGACCAAACATGAAGAATCATTAATTAGGGTCATTTGTTCTGCTGTGAGCTGAGCAGACTGTGTAAAACCTGCCCAGGAGAGAATTAATTCATCTTTCTCTCTGCTTTTTTAGAGTACACCTAGCACTATTCTCAAAGCCTGCAGGCTTCATGCATATGTTCTAATGGGCTAATTGTTCAAGAGACATTTGTAAATTAATCTTTGACTTGAGCTAAGTGGTTTCCCCTAATGGCTTTAATGCGGTGACTCCCGTTCTTGGTCACACATCAGATTCACCAGAAGAGCTTGTTAAAAAAAGGAGTTGCTCAGCTTCCCCCTCTCTCTAAGCTTAAGAGTCTCTGATCCTAGTGAATGAGGGTGTCTCTGTTTCTTAAGGAACACTCCTGAGGTGATCACATCTGGTAGTAGCCACCATTGTGAGCCATTGCTTTAAATACATGTCTGAAGGCCCATGTAGCCTCATGTGTGGATTTGGACCCAAACCCGACAACATGTAACCAGCTTCTAGAGCAGGTGGCGTCTCTAAAGAGCTGATTCATTCACCTCTGACCATATTCATATCACTGGATCTGACGTTTTCTTGAAGAGCTCCTGAGGGTGGATATTCTGTGCTTTGTCATACTGTTTTCCACTTCTATGAACTTTCTGAGACTTTTGGAAGATCTTCAGGACCTGGAATTTCCCTCATGAACATGGCTGTGAATATTCTCTTTACTCTCCATTTGTCATCAGACTCCTGGTGTCAGATGTTTTGGGGACAGTGTTTTAGTGCAGTGTGTGTGTGTGTGTGTGTGTGTGTGTGTGTGTGTGTGTGTGTGTGTCAGTGTTCTTGGCATTCTTCTGTGCAAACACATGTCATGTTTGATCTTGAAGTTTTGAAAATAGATGCCGCACAAGCACCATTGTTCGAACGACATTTATGAAATCTCTTTTGTTTTTAAGGATCTGGCACTCTATAGATATTACTTAGTACCGAGTATCATCACACAGCATATGGATATTTTCAGTAAACCTAAAAATATGGCAATTAGCACCATGCAAGTAGCCAAGGTGATTTGGTGAACCCAGACTATGAAAAGCTGGAAAGGCTAGACAGGTGCTAGAGAAGGTTAGCACAAGGTATGTCCTGAGAAGGCATGCTCACATTATCCCCGTATGTCAGACTGTTCACAAGCCTTTGTTTGCGACAGTGCTTTTTAAAGAGCTTGGTCCTTCTAAGGGGCATTCTGTGACTCAGCTGCTGGAAGGCAAATGTTTCCTTGCTTCAGGTATTACACTTTTCTTGGCTTCATCTTACTATGTCTTTGGAGCTTCAGTGTCCCTTATCCCTGGACCTGTAGAAGCACAAAGATGGACTCTCATATGAGAAGAGACAGTGTAGGAAGAAGGTATACTTTGAGAATGGGGATGATATTGAGATAAATGCGCCTGTTGTTCCTACCCTTCTTTACTCCTCCATTTAGGTTTGTTCCATTTAGCTTATGTATTGACCCTGCCAATACCACACAATCGAGTACTGATTAAATAATTTTGCATAGAATTCACGTACGTAAGGATTACCTCATGAAGGAGTACATTTTATGGCTCCATGGACTTCTCTCGTTTGTTTTTCTTAGGGCCTTATGTATGGCAGATGCGAAATAAATACTTAAATGATTATTTGGAGGTGCTCTATAACATAACCATTTAGGCTAAAATCTGATCATTTTGTGTAGTCAAACTGGATTTTTTCATCTTTAAAGTAGGGTTCTCAGGCAATGGGAGATTTGCCAAAGAGATAAAGATAATAAATGGCAGCGAGATAGAGAGAGAGAGGACATAGCCTTTGTGAGGGCCTGTAGAAGATGAATCTCTGTTCGATTCCTGTTTTCACGGCCAAATCCAAAGGGCTGATTTATTTTCTGCAGCACCTAGATCCAGATTGACAATGTAATCAAGTCTGATGATAAAGAGGCATTTAGCAAGTTTCAAAATCACATGCACAGTTGTTTGAATACTGAGAAACAGATTTTCTCCCCATCGATCATTTCATGCCTGAAGGGAAGGTGGCACTCTTTGGATAAAGCCTTGCAACTGAACACGAGGACCCAAGCGTAGGTCCATTCAGCAGAATCTTAAGTTCCTGGGAACTTGGGAAGTCTTCCTTCTGGATTTCTTCCCTCCCTTGCCTTATCAGAGTGATGCTGACATTTGAGTTTGCATCTTAGGAAGATAGCAGGATGCCTTCCTTCCTGCCACTGGCTGATTTGCTTAAGTAAGCTGCACATTGTCTCCCATGAAAGAGGCCAGCAGGAACAAATTAGGGTCAGCTACTTTGGCTACTCCAAGGCTTGGAAATCACCAGCATTGAAGAAAAGCTTAGATCGTGAGCTCGTTTCAGAATGCTGTAGATGCTATTTGCAAGGACATTTTTCCTTTTCCTTCCCCTTTCCTTTTTCTCCTCCTCTCCTGTCTCCTTCCCTTTTCTCCCAGCCTCTTCACTCTCCCCTTTCCCCTCCTCTCCAGCTTTTAGTGGAATAAGCCTAACAGAAGCTCATCATCCCCCCACCACACACACTGACAGAGATTAGTCTTGGATCAGCTATTTATGAATGAAAAGAGGTCCTTCCCCTCTCTTCTGGCCACACCCTTTCTCTTTGCAGCATTTTGAGAATGAGGTCAGGGCTAGATCTAACTGCTTATGTCTCAGAAATAGTGCAGATCAGAATTAATCTTAAGCTATTTGTTTTGCTTCCTCATTCAGATAATGGAGGGAAAAGCAGAGGCCTGTTTATGTTTTTGTTTGTTTGTTTTTGCGTATGGCTTTGCAAGGGATGAATGAATGCATGTGTGTGAGGAGAGAAACTGAAGTGAACTGCCAGGGGGTTTAAGCACTGGATGGACGGTAATTACTGACAGACTGCAGGAGTTTCCTTGGCTTCAACTGGGGACATGTTTTAGTTTTTAAAACAAAATGGAAGAATAAAATAGGCCCCAGTGGTGTATTAATACTTCCTTTCATAAGGAAAATTTATCAGGTGCTATGAAACTGCATATTCCTTTTACAGTGTCCAGTTGTTTAAACTGTCAGTTTTTAAATGTGCAGCTTGCCATCTCACCCCAGTAGCTCCATGGAGTTTTGCAGTGTTTCCATTGAATACACAGATTTCATTTTCTATCAGCCACTTTGGTGCACATACGCACAATACAGATATCTGTACGTGATTCATTCTCTCTCTCTCTCTCTCTCTCTCTCTCTCTCTCTCTCTCTCTCTCTCTCTCTCTCTCTCTCTCTCTCTCTCTCTCTCTCTCTCTCTCTCTCTCTCTCTCTCTCTCTCTCTCTCTCTCTCACACACACACACACACACACACACATACAGGGTTTGATTTTGCCCTCTTTACATAAATTGGGATTCATCTATATCTGCCAGCCAATGCCATAGGGATGTTAATAGATACTCCAAGGAGACTGACACTTCTAACCTCATTCATCCTGTAGTCTCTTTAGGCCAGTGGTCCCCAACCTTTTAGGCACCAGGGACCGGTGCTCTTATGAGAATCTAATGCCTGATGATCTGAGGTGGAGCTGAGGTGGAGCTGAGGTGGTGATGCTAGCACTGGGGAGCAGCTGCAAATACAGATGAAACTTCTCTCACTCACTACTGCTCACCTTCTGTTGGGTGGCCCAGTTCTTAACAGGCCACAGACAAGGACTGGTCCATGGCCCGGGGGTTGAGGACTCCTGCTTTAGGATATTAGCATGTTGAAAGTTATTCGTCGAGCCCTGGCATTGTATGTGGTGGTGGTATTCACTTTTTGTTCTCAAGCTTAATTGTTGGCTCTTAGCATCTTTCTTTTTTTTGAACATGCTTTGAGTTGGACCACTGCTCTCCTGTGTGAACAATTAAATAAACGAATTAGACTATTAAGTGAGCACAGAAGTGTCAGTATCAGCCCAATTGGCTACATATTCATCTGATGGACTTTTGTGTAACAGGTATCCTCTGAAGGAAGATATCAACCTGTCTTTTATATCATTGGTGATTAATTTTGAGTGAAGAATGTAAAGAAGACCAAGGATTGTCATCTAGCTGGCCTAATGTATTACCTAATTTGGCCTTCTGCACCTCAAGGGTTTCCAAAATACTTGAGAAGTGTTATGCACATCCCCCCCTCCCCAACACACACACACAAGTTTTTTCACTTGATAGTTCTTTTATAGAAACAGAAAGTGAATTAGTGGTTGTGGGGGACTGGGACAAGAGTGGGGACTAGCTGTTAGAGGGGTGCGGGATCTTACTGGGAGGATGAAAAGATTCTGAAACTAGATTAAGGTGATGGTTGCATGACTTGGCAAATGTATTTAGTCGTTGATTGAACTATGTATTTAGAATGGGTGAATTTTATGGTATGTAAATTATACCTCGAGAAAGTTGTTAAAAATTGATATTCCTCTATTTGAGTTCTCTTGGGGCCTAGCTTACACATAATATGAAAAGTTGTATCACCCCCAATTTTTACCTGCTCTTTTCCCACCCAAATGCATTGACTTCAGTTGTGGAGAAGCTGGATCCTGAGGTCACAGGGCCAGGTAAGAACCCTGTGCCTTAGGTTACAGGGTCTGCCCTGCCCCCTGTTGGCAGGCAGCGAGGTTGCTGCCCACTGCAAGGTAAAGGAGCAGCATCAGGGGAGCAAGGGGATGAGATATCCAAGCAGGTCCCAGAAAGCAATTGGCACCGTGTTTGTTAGCCGCAGCTACACATGTCATAAAACTAAAAAATAAACACCCCAGTGTTCCACTCCTTAGTTATGGCGTTATTCTCTTCTTTTGCAGGTGGTCTTAGTCTTTGCTCTCAGCATTGGTGCACTTGTAATATACTTCATAGATTCGTCAAAGTGAGTATCCAAATACATTGTGTTGCCATCTTTTTCTTTCCTTTTTTTTAAAACACGATTATGAGCTTTTATGTTGATCAGTTGATTTACTTTAACACCAACCTTTGCAAGAGCTTCCTAAGTGTGGAAGACTTATAGAGGAAGGCAGGGCTGTCTGTTCTGATTTTCTGAATGGGAAAGCAAGCTCTCACAAGGAAAGCTGCTTTAATCCTGCTGATTATAAGAAGGAGGAGGGGTATCTGAGGTCAAGCCTTTTTGCTGGGTTTTATTTATTTTTAAATAGCTGTTTCCTGATGAAGTATTTGCACTGAAGATCAAGTGCGTAAGAGAGTTTCGATGTGAATTTGCAACCTCCATGAGGGTCACAGTATCCAACCATGGAGGGTATGAGCCATTCTTGCCGTGGTGGTAGAGTCCATTTCTTATTAGGGTTTTCAATGTTTTAATCTTACTGGAGGTCAGTTGGAAAGCGTGATGCTATCCTTCGCACCTGCCAACCAAATATTCGGCTGAAGCATCGCTTGCTGGTGCTTCTTGGGTTGTGAAGGTAAGGAGATGGGACAGAGGAGTTCATGATGACTCCCAGAAGTGAAGGACCATGGCCATCTAAGAATTTTCAGAGCAGATGCTTGTGCAGACCCGGGGGTGCTGGCTGAGTGAACTGATGCTTCAGGGTAAGCCTGGGGTGGGTTCTGTGTGACAGATGGTAAAGGAGGTAGAAGAAGTCATTGAGTAGAGCTGCTGGGTGGCAGCCAGTTCTGCTCGGGTCCAAATAGGCATCACCCCTAGGTACATCATTTTTTTCCAACTATTCTTTTGCAATCTTGAAGCTGACAGCATCTGATAAACTGGAGCTGAGCTGGTCTGACTGGCCTTTCTCTGGTGACATGAACTTGATAGCCAGACAGTGACCTTGAACTCTGCCTGAATTGTTCACTATGAGACTGTTTTGAACTCTTTGAACTCTATCCCTGGTATGGCTGGATACTAGAGTTTGATCCCAGGAAACCTGCTTGGTATCCCTGTTGGCACAGGCCCTGGTGTAACAGAATTCCAAGCTTAGCACTCTTTCTGTGGCTCTGGGTGGTGAAAATTTCATGCATGCCTAAACTCTGAGTTTCTCAGAGGCTTCTCATCACTAGCCAAAGGATATTGTACATTTGGGTGCCAAGACCAAAATATCATGTCATGGAAAAGAAAGAAAACATCTTCTTTAATCACCCGTCTCTGTGAATCAACCACGTCTGAGAATATCAGGTCCTTCAGCCTATCCCCACGCACAGGGCTGGGCTGCCCTTGCCCATCTCAGATGGAGGATCCTTTAAAAGCCTTTCAGGAGATGAGCTACCACATGCTCCTCCATCAGATCTTCTTGGCCAAGAAAAAAAAGAAGAGCTTTTTTAGTTTGGAAAACTCCAAATGGTATGACATCGAAGGTAAGCCTCTTTTAAATAGCTACTCTTAATAATTTTGAAGCACATTTGCATTGAACCAAGGATCTCCTAAAGCCTCAGTCTTATTTCTCTATTTTCTCTCTAGGCATGAAGAGTGTTCTCACACACCTTGGGTGTGTTCCCTGCAAATTCCATACCAGGGCTCAGGAAGTGGGTTCGGGTATGTAGTCTGTGTACCCCAGACAGAGCAAACCCGTACACGGAGGTGAGTGTGGATTGGTTGGAAGGACAGATGCCTCGGTGCCATCCTTCCTTTCCTCTCCCTTCTTGCTCCTCTGTATTTCTCAATTAAAATAAAACGATCTTATTAGATGGATTTGAATTGTGTCCTTTTTTACAGAGTCTATGGGGAGGCCATCTTTTGCTCTTAGATTTTGGAGTCCTCAGATCTATGTGAGAGGATGGAAAAAGACGGAATTCCCCAAGGCAAGACCCTCTTCCTCGGATGCCCTGCACTATCTCAGTGCCCCTTAGATTTAGTTATGATTCTGCTAAGCCTTGGGGAAGCCGGCTTTGGAGTTCTCTCTGGTTCTGGTCCTTTTATACCCTTGCAAAGAGTCTATTCAAAGGATGTCCTTCCATCCTGTTCTCAGCTTTTCCCAGCGAAAATGCCAATTATCTTAGACCCAGGATCGTTCTCACTCTCCCTGGGGACGGTTCTAGCCTCATCCTAAACATTGTCTTTCTTCTCTGTCACTAAACTGTGTGGTTTGGCATAGAGAGAGAAACTTAGTACCCAAGAAGACCATATGTTTGTTTATGTAGCCCTTTTTGCTTTTCATTCGCATTACTTCTTTTGTTTCTGGAACCATATCCCATGTCCTGTGGGAGATCTGATCAGCATAGTCAAAACCAAGGAGTCTGCCATCTTTCTGGGGACAGCCAGCAAGCATGCCCAGTTTAAGTAAGGGGAAGAATTAAAGAAGAATCTATAAAGTAACCTTTATGACAAATCCATAGGTTCCTAGGCATAATAAAAATAAAGAACCTGTTCGACAAACTATAATCAAGCAACGTGAACAAGATAAAAGGAAGTTCTGTCCACACATAAAATGTAAATGGAAAGCAGGTGAGAAAGCAGATGTAAATTCTTAAAATTTATCTTTTCCATTCAAAACTGTCATCAGTTTTATACACTAATTGGTTTGCTGGCCATTCAGAAAGAAATGGGCATCTTGGAAAAATAAGCTTTAAACTTATCTTGGAAGTCATATGAAATCGCCACCCTGGAAAAAAGTACACAGTATTCCTCAGATGAATTTTAGTTAGTATGTATACCCTTCCAATAAGTAAATAACTCAAAAGATAATCTATAGCCTTCCCCTTGTGTGAACCTAATGGGTACGAAATGGCTTGTCTCAGTGCATTTTAACAAGAGCTGGCCTCCCCCAAATAGTGGGGAGTACCCCAGGAGCACAAATTAAAAATCTAAGGCTCTGCTGGTTTAGAGTCAAGACAGTCCAATTCAGGTTGTGCAACTGGACAACCTGGTTATTCTACTGCGTGGCAGCAGGTGAGGAAGGCACTTCAGATAAATGTCATAATTGATGGGCGTATGATCTTTTTAACTTTCACCACTTATTTTACTATCAAGAGGCAGTGGGTAAGTTATGTCCAAATATATCCTCTCCTACACGTCTTTTCTTTTCTGTTGTTAGGCCAAGATGGCCTCTGAGCAGTTCTTTTTCATTCAAGGCTTTGAGAAGCCCTTCTTTGAGTCTTAATTTTCTTAGAGTGATCACCACAGAAGAATCACTTTTGCAGCCTCAGGTGATTATTATCTAGCTAAGATGGATTGTCCTTAGAGCTCCTGGAACTGAAAGCCAAAGAGAATTACATTAAACTGTGTTAAAATTATGTTTTATCATCCCAGCAGAAGATTCTCCAAACACCCAAGAAGGGGGAGATGTTCCACCAAGTCTTTGGGTAGACCTCAAGGTCAATTCCTTAACAGACACAGAGAAGCATTAAGCCCACCACACATAGTAATCCCTTCTCCCCCACCAACTCCCTTCAATTAGCCACATGAGGCAGATATTATCCAAAAGAACTCCATTTCTTTTTCATTCTTTTTAAAGGTGTTGTGCTCAATTTAAGGCCCATCCACTCCGACTTCTAATTCTGATGTCTCTAGATGCCTAGCCCCACCCTTTCTCCCTACACACTCCGATACTCTGCGAAGCAAAGATTTTTTTAAAAATTGTACAACCAAGTCAAAAGTGCCCCTAGACTTCCTCTGGGTGACAATGTCATTGTGGTTGGTTTCATCCCTGTTTCTTCCCTTTGACATAGGAATTGTAATTCTTCCCTAATAGTTAAAGAATACAAAAAGCCCAAGGGATGTCAGTGTGCAGGCAGGATTCATGGATTGCATAATGTAGCAGTTCCCGCTGCTTCTAGAATTTCAAGAGAAAGTTGGAAAAGAGAGAGACTCAGGACTCTAGGTATTTGCATTTTTTTCCAGGGGAATTCTGGGAAAGGATGACTCATCTATGTGAAGATATTTATTCCTTTGATTCATGTTTAAACTCTGCTACTTTTTATGCTATAGTTACATGGATTATGAATATTTAATGCTGCATATACTGAAAATGAAGGTCAAGTCCTGCTTACTGGTGACTTTAATGCAGACTCATGTCTCAGAAAGGCAAGCTACCTGCTGTTAGCAGAGTAGAGCTGAAAGGTTATCCATTGTTAAAATTTTCCTTAATGACTTTATCTGCTCCAAAATGGCTGGTACACAGTGGAGGCACCTGCTGCTTTTGCCAGTCTTTGCCCTTGGCTTCTGGTATCAGCAATGCCGGTTTGGGATATGGACATTAGGATGGGGGAGGAATGGCAACACAAATTTTGGAGATCGTCTGATTTAAGGGCTGGATTCCAGGGTAGCAGCAGGGTTACAGTATGGAAATGGCCTCCCCTAGTCTTTAAAATTTTACATTCGTATTCAATGATTCATTCATTTTCGTATTCATTCATTCATTGAAATGTCTTCAGTGTGATGATGCTGAATATTTTCCACATGGTAAAATTGCTACGGTTAGTTATGGCCAAGGAAAACTGTTTTTAAGATTGCAATAGAAATTGACCAGACTGTTTTCATAGTCTCTGAAAATAAAACTGGCATGGTTGATGTAATAGAGATACCCAGAGCTTTAGCAGAACTGGCCAGTCACCCAACTATTTTACTCCCCAATTCTTCACATGGCCAGGGCTCTCATCCCTCAGCCTAGAAATTCTCCTCAAAAGGAAAGAGAGCGGTTGGTGGTTGGAGGGAACCGACATTTGCTGATCACGTGCTATGTGCGAGGCGTAGTACTAAGCACATTAGAATAAATAACACACACACGATTCCATCAAAGTCTCCTTACAACTTGATAGGGAAGATGTTATATACCCTTTCCAGTTACAGATGAGGAGGATGAAGCTGCAACATTTGCCCGAAACCATGTAGCTAATCCTGGAGCCAAGATTTGAACCCAGCATGTCTTAAGGCCCCTCTCTTCCAAGTGTCAGGAAGCAAAATTCCAGATTGTGGAAGTGACT